CTTCATAAATAGTATACTATTCTCGTTTTTTCTATTGCATTATATCTTTTATATCTATAATAATCTAAATATAATGTTAGCTTTTTGTTCATCTACATGTGGTGTTCTGACGTCATCTCCATAGTCATAATAATATGGTGCTGGAGCTGGGTCAGGCAATGTCATATCTGTCATTTCATAAACTCTTAAATATTTCTTTTGTTCGTCTCCATATAAGTTTAAGTAGCAGTTGTTGTCTAATGGAACTTTAACTTGTGTACCATCGTTCTTTTTTAGCTTACATACATTTCATTGTTATTTTTCGGAATGAGTTTATACCGTGTACCATTTTCTAAGGACTGTACCAACTGCCATCTAAAATATTTGTTTTCTTCATTGACAGAAAAGTCACCAACAATAGTTTCAATATTTTGTTCCTAGCAAACTTTGATATATTCATTGACATATGTTTTTATCTGCTTTATTTCAAGGCTAACGTTTAAGTCTGTTATTTCAGAAGATGTATGTGTATGTCCAACGTCACTTTTCCTGTTTAAGGTTTCTTGTAAGTTTGTAATATTGCAATGGTATGTGTATGTCAACGGTACTTTTCCTGTTTAAGGTTTCTTGTAAGTTTGCAATATTTGCAATGGTAATGTGTATGAGTCTTTTTAGAATATTCGTTTTCAGCTCTTGTCACTTCACTTGACATTTTATTGTCAACATATGTTTTTGTCTGCTAGTTCAGGATGAGTATGTTCTTTTGTTGCATAAGCATTGTTAGCTCTTTCTTCTTCTTTTGCTATTGCATCGTCTACATATTCTTTGTCAGCTTTGTTGCAACATCTGCTTTCAAAAGAAGTTCATTTATAGGTTTCTCGTTTAAAGTTCCTTTTGTTGATTTATACAGACAGTATGGTTCTTATTGTCTTGAAACAGAAACTCATCTGTCATTGGGTTTAAGGTCAGTTTAAGTTTCCTTCTTTCAATGACTCAGATATCTTAGAATAGTTTGAAAAGTTTGTTGTGTTCTTATTTAGAGCTTGCATAATGAGTTGTCGGTTGTGTTTATTTCTCTCATAGACGCTGTTTCATTTGACATTTTTATTCTAGATAAATATGCTTCCAATAGAAAAAGAAAATTCAAGAGTTGCTACAACTAAAACCATAGATGAACTTTTTACTAATGTCGGTCAAAAGTTTGAGACAGAGACCGTAAAGCAATGAAGGCTATCGTTTTGACTACCCATTAAGATGGTTAAGAGACCCATCTGTCACAAAAGCTATTGGCTTTCGTAGAATGAAGTTTGTGTCTGTAAGAAGATAAAAGTTTTCCATTTATTGTAGGTTTCATATAGATTATATATCTGAAGGGAAAACGAAAAATGTGGGAAGAATTGAGCTAATACAAGTTGACCTTTCATCTTCTCTACAGACTGCGTTAAAAAATATAGAAGATAAAATAAATTCATGTTATGCAAAATATGCTGATGAATATGCAAATACCGAGAGCACCTTTATGTGAGAATTGTATATGACAAACAAAATTCACAAGTGTCATTTCAAATCTACGAAGACAATCCAAAGAAAGACGAACAAATATATACAGAATTCACTGCAATGTCATGGTATTATTTGCAAAGAATGTTAAATCAGAAAGTCGAACTTCCTTAGCAAATATTTACAGTCGATATGCAAGAGATGAACCATATTTATTTAAAGATGTTTCGACCCAGCTGCTATTATTGTTCAATGCTTCATTTTCTGGCGCCCAAAACTCTTTCTTATGCTTGGCAAATGACTTTTACGAAAAACCTACAAAGTTATACGAACCACCAAGTGGAATATTTCAGACTTTCAAGTATGGTTTACTACAGATGGAAGAAAAAGAATAATCCATTATACCATGCGTTTTACTTAGAACTTAGTTTCATATACAACTACTATCGAACGGTCAAAATATAATTTTTTTAATACGGTTGAGGTGTTGGATTTGGTTTGCCAACTAGACTGTGGTGCAGGTTCAGGCTGTTGTATAACAGGAGCTTGTTCTTCTGGTTCAGGGTCTTTAGTATAAACCAACAAACTGACCTACTCTTTTTAAACCATATTTTTGACTCCGTTCCAAATTCCCTTCCTAACGGTTTTTATTCCATTCCATATACCTCTTCCAACATTTCGAAAGAAGTTTCCTATCTTACTGAAGAAACCCATTTTACTATATGTAAAATCTAATGTCCGCCTAGTCTCTTACGTTTCCTGTTGAGTTCCATAGCATTCTTTAACTGGAGCTCATACATTCTGTTTCTCCTCTGGTAGAAAACATATTCTGGGTCACTCCTGTGTTCGCGTCATCTGCATAAAGTTGTTTATATCCCACTTCAGGGTTTGTATAAAACTCTTTCCATCTCATATTTGCATACCATGGTGGCAAACCTAACGCAGGTCATTTGACATGGCAAGTTTGCATTTGTACATCTGTTGCACTTGACCATAGTTTGCCATTGCAGTTTGTATTCTAACTTCATTTGGAATATTCTCTGGTTTGGTTGTCCAGTTGCTGTGCATTCGCTAAGTTCTGTGCGTCCATTTAATATTAGATAAAAATATCTCTTACGAGTACATATGCTGAACATTTGCAGGCATTGGTTCATCTTCATATTCTCTATATCTTCTGCCACGTCAAATAAATAAATGACACAATGAAAAAACCTAAAACAAGTAGTCCTATTTCAAACCACATTTACTTACTAATAAAATTTCTTTGTTATGACACTTTCTCCGGTTTATAGACCTCTCTCATATTCTATCTTGTCATATATATAACTCATAGTCATGTATGTCCTCTAACCATCTCATAACGGTTTCCAAACCACTTTTATCGGATGTAAAGTAAAAGCATGGATGGTTATGTAAAACGTCTAAAGTTTCTAAAGAGTCTCTTCAAAGTCCAGTCTACTTGGTATTGAAAATCCCATGTGTTATAGAACGGGCGGGTCCACTATAAAGAAAACATTTCCTTGTCTTATATTTTCATACAAATCTGTCCAATGACATCTCACAAACTCTATACCCTCAATATATTTTTCTATGTCCTCTTTGAAAACATTTGTATAGTTAAGATATAAAAACTTTTGACATAAGTGTTTCAATGTCATGAACTCTTATAGAACCACTATAATATAGTCTAGCAGATATACTATCCCAGTCAATATATTCTGCTTTTTTCAAAACCTCTCTCACAATATTTTTCTTATCTAATGGTATACGTTCTCTTACCTATAGGTATCTTTTCTTTTAACTCTTTCAATATATTGTTTGTGTCTGGAATATGTTTGAGACGGTTCATATAGTTGTCGAAGTCATTGCATATAATCTTTGAGTCTGGGAATATTATATGACATAGATGGGATATATAGAAACTTCCACCGAACAAATCTACAAATGTTAGACCATTCGGTAGTTTCTTAAGTTCTCTCAATATAATATCTTTACATCTACTCTTATTTCCAAAGAACGGTAACGGAGGTTTTGTAAAATTCATTTATATATAATAATAAAAATGTTTTTTCCTGAAAAGTGACAGAAAAGTGACAAAACATTTACGATGAAGAAGTTTCGACAAAACATTTACGAAGAAGTCTTGACAAATTCAAGAGGTGAGAAAACAGGTGAGAAAACGGGTGACATCTCACCTCTTCACCTAAATTATATTTTTGGGTCATTTACGCTCATTACGAAGAAGTCTTGACAAAACCTTTACGAAGAAGTCTTGACAAAACATTTACGTTCATGTTTGACAAAACATATACGATGAAATTCATGAGTTTTCTACGATGTTAGAAAACATGTTAGAAAAGGTGTTAGATCTAACATTCTAACATAAACATTATTTTTGGGTCATTTACGCTCATTACGAAGAAGTCTTGACAAAAAAGTCAACGGCTGGTCGGCTGGGGTTCGGTCCTCCTCTTGGGTCTTGGGAAAAATTTCTTATGGGCTAGAGGGCGCAACGCGCCTGGAAGCCCTCCGAATAAAAACTTCATTTATACTAAACATCTTCAGGGCTAGAAGGCACGAAGTGCCTGGAAGCCCCACTACCTTTTTTTTTTTTTTTTTTTTTTAGTAGTACGAAAATTTTTTTCAAACGTTCTTTTCCTATTGAAAGTGTTTTTGCCGTATCTTCGAGAGTTACATTTGGATTATTAATGTATTCTTGATATTTTTCATCAATTACGTTGAGAACCTGATCGGTGGGAACGGTTGGGAGTTGAAAAGTTTTAAGATCTTCTGGGTTTTCGAGACGAACCAAGATGTCTTCCATTTTTTAATTTGTAAATTTTTTCAATTTTTCAAAAGATAATTTAAAAATACTAGTTATTTGATAAAATTTGTTTATTTTAAATAAAACAATTTTTTTGAAAAAATTATATTAATGATTTGAAGGCAAAAGCCAAAAACTTAATAGATAAAACGCTCTTTCTATATAGATCAACTTCTATTATTAAATTTATAAAAATGGAGAGATTTTGCAAATTAATTTCTAATATATTATATTTATAATCATTTTATTTATCCCATTAATAATTGTGAACCCAGAATATCTTCCCTTCAAAGTGCCAAGCATCAACACACATTCTCACTCACAAATTTTTAAAACTCATTGCCAAAAATCTAAAAAACTCACAATTTTTTTTAAATTGATAACCCTCAAACCGTTTCCAATCAATAATTTGAGAGTCTATATGATAATGTAAAAGTTAAAACATTCAAGTATTTAAGTATTTCTTTAAAATATTAAGTTTTTTATTTTTCCAATAAAATTCTAATATCAAATATTTTTATTTAACGATTAATTTTATTTATATTTTTATAGTTTTTTTTAAGAAAAAATATTGTTAGGGTTTTATGGATTTTCAATTAATAGTTATTAGATACTTTTTATAGCATATTTTTAAGCCTGAAAAAAATTCACAACTATCATGATTATTTTTACAAAAATGTATACATTATCCTGTGTACTAACAGGAAAATACAAACTCTTTGAATCTGTCGGGTTTTTTAAATGAATCTTCTGAATCTTGGATGCTTCCCTTCGTATTCAACAACGAATTCATCGGGTTCTTCCTCGTACAAGTCATTGTACAACAATTGTTTAGTCCTGGATGTAAACCGTCTAATGCCTTCAAAAATTCAATAAATTTGACTGATCCGACATTTACAACCAACGCGTAAAGAGGGTTTTCAATTTCTATCTGTCTCTGCTTTGGGAACATCGAGATGTACTCGTACTCGTTCTTGTTAAAGTTGAAGTAATTAACTGAATCATTAACAACGCATTTGAGATTTTTGACATTGATAAATGACAAATTTGAAATTGTCACGAAAACATTGAAAGTTGCGGACATCAGTATTTAAAATGATCTTGCCTTCTGGAGTTATGTATTGAACACTTGTCTGAGAACAGAGTTTCGTGAAGGATCAGTGAAATCAGTGAAAAAGAAAGCTCAAAATGTAGGTGTTAAAAAAGGAATAAATTTTCCAAGTTTTGCATCATTAGTAATGAAATGTGTCATTGTAAGAGATGATCAATGCGTATCTCTGCAAGAACAAGAAGAAATTTTCGAATCTATACTTAGTTAGAACTAATCCTTTGGCTAAAACTTTGTAATGCATGAAAAATAGCGTGACTTCATTTTTGACAATTTACAAATGTAAAGTGTTGCATCCTTAAAAACTTGGAAATATATACATTCAAATTATATGTTTTTTGTGAGTGGGATCACTTCTTTTTTACAAGATAAGAGAAGTAATTGATTCTCCAAAGCCAAACTTTTCGAATAGAACTTTGACCTTCTTTGATGAAAATAGATTCGTCTTTATCATTTCGAGTTGAGTTTTCGAAGGTATTTGTCGAAGTAAGTGACTTAATATTTGAAGATTCAAGAATAATTACTCCTTCATCACCAAGATTGGAAAAATAGACTTTGTAGACATAAAAATCACCTGTGTTCCCTACATATGTCTGACTTTGATTGTAAACTGTGCTTGAAAATGTAGATTTGTAGACTTCTTCCCATTCATTGATGGATGAATGGAAATTGTTGATATTTATGTGGTTCATTAATTCTACTCATTTGGCATTGAAGATTTGGTTCGATTGAAAGAATCAAAAGAAATCAATATTTTAAATAGTTAATATGTATTAGTATATTATTATTGATATTAATTTTAGGTTATTGAGATATTTGCCAAAAATACATAGTTATGAAGTTCGATAAATTTATTAATAGGTTTCTGGTTATGAAATTCTCATTGAGTGATCCTAAGACATTGAAAAGATTGGTATGTAATTGATTGATTACATATCAAATTTTAAATTTCATTGGTAAAAAAGGGGGTTGGCGTCCTAAGGCGTCCTAGTGTAAATTTCTCAAAATTGTGATATTTACATCACATTTTTGAGAGGTTTATGGGCGTCCTAAGGGAAAATTGAATAGCTAGGGCGTCCCGAATTTTCATTCTAAGATTTAAATATATTATATACTTAAGTATAATACAAGCAATATAAAAATTAAATTTTTATTATGTTAACTTATAAGAAATTTTTTTGAATTATCGTTGATTTATTGTAATCTTTCCAGGCTATACTTTTGAAATCAACTTTACCTGTCATACGCATTAATGTAGTAGATGTCCAGGTGTAGCTATTATATCCCAGCAACATTGGTATTTTATCATTGTAAGATATCAAAATGAAGCGTTTTTTCAGATATAATTTTTCGTAAATTTTTTCAAAAATAAGATGGTAAAAAAGCCTCGACTTGCTCGAAAAATAACAATTTTTTTACTTGTAAAAATAACCCTTTTACAGCATGGGCAGCTATTCAATCACTATTTCTTTTTCTACAAGTATATTTTTCAAAAAAAATTAAGATCAAATTCGACAATTTCTTGATGAAAGCAAAAATATTACACATACTTCTAGATGCATGGGATAAAATATGCAATTATTCAATCAATTCGCATGATTTGAAAAAAAAATCTAAATTTGATAAAAATGTAGAAATTTTTATTTTTAACTTGAGATTCGATTTTTTTGATCCAATTTGTGAATTTTTTTTGATCGGAATTTCAATTAATTTGTTGATCAAAAATGACCTCACAATGTTTGATCATAAGTGAAGTCATCTTCATGGGTATTTAGAAATTCCAAGAGAAATTGCTTATTTCTCGCAGATGTAATATCTGAGAAAATCGAATTTAAATATTCATAGAAACCCAAATCATTCTCCGGTTCGAATAATTCATCTGTTGCTTTTTCTGTTTTTTCTATGAATTTTAATAATTTGATTAATAAATCTTCATCAGGAAGAATTATTGCTGCATTTGTGATAAAATTCCATATTGAGGTAATATGGCAATAATTACATTTATAAAATGTAATTTTATCCAAAATTTTTTGGCAAATTCGCATAATAGCATTAATATTTGAAGCTGAGATTAAACCTGTGATTACTTCTGTAACTTTTGGAAAATCATCGCAATTTAATATCTCTTTATATTGAATTGAGAAATAAAAAAAATCAAATGGATTCATTTCTTCAATTTCAAGGAGATTGTAAAAATTGATAGAAGTGTTATTGCAACAAATTGTATTTGCAGCAAAAAATATCATTTGCTCGATTCCATTTTTGGAATAAATTTGCTGGAACAATGTTAAATTAAAACAGTTGCTTAATTTTTCTTCATTGTTTTCATAAAAAAGTAACAAGTTTGCAACTGAAATTTCAAAATTTTGATAATTGCCAGTTATTTCAGTAAATATATATATTTGCTTTTCTTCATCTAAAAATGGCAAATATTGATTTGCAATATTAACTAAAGTTTGGGATAAATTGTTCCAGTTTGATTTTACAATTTGTGAGCACATTATGTAATATGTAAATTTATCCGCTTTGTAGGAATTTAAAATTGTTTGTTGTTCTGTTTCAGTTAAATTACTGAATTTTTCAAGATTAATATTGTGATAAAAAATAGAATCCTTGAAACATTCTGATATCTTTTCAATGTTTAAAACGGATGCTAAAAAATGTAAAAGAACTTCATCAGTCACTGTGATTTTTTTGAAAAATTTATCCCAATTCAAGCATCCAATTGATCTTTCTGTCATTGTACTTATGCATTGATAAAGTTGATTTAATGAATCCGAAGAATAATCATTATGCTTGACTAGTTGAGTTAGTTGATACAGACTGTCGTCAGCCATTTTAAAAAAATGAATAAAATTGTATAGTAAATTATATTTGTGAAATTTGTGACGCTACATTCAATCTAAGACCAATATCTCAAAGAATTCCTCATTTAAGTATTACTTTTCATTGTTTTTTAAAAAATATCTTTGCTTATTTGTTCACTTTTTTGACATTTATTATATGCTTTTTATCATATTTCCGATGATATGAATATATATTCTATATAAGAATGACGCTACATTCAATCTAAGACCAATATCTCAAAGAATTCCTCATTTAAGTATTACTTTTCATTTTTGATTCAATTTTCGAACGGTTTTCGTAAATTTTGCATCATTTCATTTTTTAATGGGAAAATCATCTATATTTAATCAAAAAAGAGCAAACTTTACAGACGAAAATAAAATATTTATCAGGGAACAATCTGATAAATACCAAAAATCAACATCGAGAGATGAAAAAACGAATATAATCAAACAAGTTCTTCAATATTTTAATATTAAATACGCCGAAAATGAATCTAAAGCTGTCAGAAGATATTTTAGTTATATTGCAGTTAAAAATATTCCCGCAGTTACTGGAAAATATCCTGATACAATTGTTCGCAAAGATATGCTTTATTCGCATGATCATACAAATATTATTAATTCAAATAATATTGAACGTTACTACCGTTGCATCGATCATTCTTGTCAAGCACGTTATTTAGTTAAAATTGAGAACAGTTCAGTTTCCGAAGATTTACAAAAGGAACATATACCCGAATGCAGACAATTTAAAAAGTTACAAAATGAAAAAAATGATCTTCATAAATCAATGACTCTGACAGAAATATACAATAAGGCAATGGCAAAATTTTCTGAAGACAACGGCACTTTTCAGCAGATTAAAAAATTTATGACAGAACTTGCTGTTGGTACTGATGAAAACCCATTAATTAAAGATTCATTGGTCAGGGAAGTTTATAATAAGTCCAGAAAATTTTCTGTTGGAGAAAAAATTACAGACGATGAAATTGCTAATTTTTGTTTAATAAATGGCGAGCAGTTTTTCATTGGCCATGATTTTCAAGCAAATTGTGAGACGATGTTTTTTGGTTTTGAGAAGGCAATTCAATTTGCAAAAGAAGCCACAGATTTATTTTGCGATGGAACTTTTAAAATTACACCAAAACATTTTCAAAAAGGACAGATGCTAACAATTATGATTTGTGAACCTTCAACAAATCAATATCTACCACTTTTATTTATATTCATGAAAAACCGCACATTTGAATCTTATAAGAAGGCATTTGAATATATTTTTACTGTCAAGGGTATTCAATTTTCAAAGCTAATTCAAATTCATTGTGATTTTGAAAAGGGAATGATAGAGGCACTTCAACAAATTTTCCCTAAAGTCCGTATAATTGGATGCCTATTTCATTTCAAACAAGCTTTACACAGGAAACTTGTAGCACTTTATACAAAAAATTTCAATACTTTACAAAATTCTTTATTTAAGCTATATTCTATTACTCCATTCATGTCTCATGAAGAATTTGTACTTACAATGCATATAATTAATCAAAATAAAGTTGATTCGATCAAAGATTATATTGATTATTTCAACAAAGTTTGGTTGCCGCACTACAATTTAATATCTCAATATAATAATGCAACTGCAATATTCACTAATGATTGCCTCGAGAGTATGCATTCAGAATTTTCTTCGTTAAAACATCCAAACATTTATGAAGCTATTAAGAAGATATCTCAAATCCAATTAGATAAATATAACGCCATCAAAAATAACCAGAAGATCGAGCGCCATATAAAAACCGTTATCACTGATAGCTACAAAAATTATATTCTTGACTGCTTTCAAAAAGAACTTGAGAAAACAATTTTTTCTATCAAACAATACAACGTAAGTGATCTTTCTTTGGCTCAGAACGAGATTTCTCCATATGGTTCCATAGAATCGAGTTCATTGTTCGAAAATATTCCAGTTCATGATGCAGATATACTCAAATCGATCGATCTAACAGATAAAGATACAATGATCACTAAGTTTATTAATGAAAAAAGAGAAAAAATTATGGCATTATTTAATGAAACATTAAATCATCCAGATTTTAATTCATCCACTCCAATTCAAACTAATTTTGAGCAAGCCGATACAAATCAAGGTTCAGATGCTCCAATTCGCTCCGAAAATTCAAATATTGCAGACTCTACAGATTTAGAACCAGAAAATCAAAACCATCCTTCTACAAATCAAATGTCTAGTAATCTAGAACATAAGCTGGACCTTCTTGATCATATTGAAAAACAATTATCGAAAATGCGCTCGTTATTGGGAATTCTTCCTACTACAAATGCTATTGTTGGGCCGTCAAAACAAGTTTCAGTTAATAGCAAGCAAAATTCTGAAAAAAATAAGAAAAAATCTTCCATAACAACAAAATCAAACAATAAAAAACAAAATTCATCCGACAATCCTCCTAAACGTAAAGCTCCTATTTCGGAAAGGATTCTCAGCGATAATAACTTATATTTTCAAGTTCATCGAAAGAGATCGAAAAGCAAACGTTCCACATCTACAGAGAAAAAGAATTGATATATGAAGTCTAATTCCTTTTATAACTACTATATTTTTATTCTTATGACTAAAAAATAATATATTATTTAACAATTTTCATTTTTTTCTTTTAACAATTTCGTTTTATTTCCATTTATTGTTAAATGATTTTTAGCATACACCTTTCTTTGTTCATCTTCTAAATACAATTTATTTTTTCTTAGATATAATTCTATTCATTCAATTCGATCGTCATTTTTCAGTACATGATCGTAATTTTCAATTATTGATCGCGATTTTACTTCAGAATTTGTTCGCAATATTGCTTATCAAAATTATATCTCTATTCTCTCATTTCTGTTTAGTCAATATCATTACACTCCTATTGTCTAATAACATGCTATTAATTTTCTTAAAATTAAAAAAAAAATATCAACTTTTAAAAACAGAAACTTAACATCCTTAGGTCAATGGATTTTGATGTGAGATACATTTAATCTGTTTTTCTTTTTTTATTTTAAATAATTGAATATTTATAGTTGTTATGGGTCTTACATCATGTAAAACGAATTTTCTTAAAGTAAATTTACTTTTTCTTCAATCTTTCTTACATATTTATTAAAAAAAAATTATCCAAAAAAAGATGTTTTAGAATGAAAAAAAATAGAAAAATCTTCATTTATAGTCTTTCTTGAATGTATACGTCAAGGGTTTCGTTTTGCGAAAAAAACGTACAATACGCAATTTCGGTAAAAAACATTTAGCTAGCAATTTCGACCTTTGACTCCACTCAAGACGTCACTTTTTTAAATTTGCGGTATCATATTTTTGGAAAATCTTTATGAATATTATATAAAAAGTCTCTTTAATATCTATATTTCATATTTTTATCGATTTTTAAAGTTTTTGCGAAAAGTATTCAATTAGTTTTGCTATTTGGTCGGGTAAATGTCAGATTTGCGACATTTTCTGATATGATATTCAGATTCTACGTTGATAATAATGCTTATAGAACCCTTGCTATTGTGTCAAAATTGCGAAACCGATAGCAAAAATATCTCGCAATATCAAAATTGAGATATTGAGTGAATTATGCATTATAGAGATTAAAAATCTGATTTGTGAAAACATCTCATCAGTTCTAGCTAATTCAAAAATCTTTACTATCTTATTCGATTAAATGAAAAGGGAATAGTTTCATTATGCTTTAAATGACAGCCTTATAATATAATCATAGTTTTCGCTCAATATGCAGCATTTTTTTTCGAAATCTATGGTCAATATCCTAAATACTGATTGCTTTGCATTCATATCTCTTACATTTTCTATACCCACATCACTATTCATTGCTATTCCTATCTTTTTCATTTTTTTGTTTCTCATAATTTCTCAAAAAACATGATAACTTGATATTGTAAATATCATACTTTATAACGTAAATAAGAACTTGACCTATTAAGAAAAGCAGTAAAAAAAGAAAATCTGAAATTCATAAAAATTACAAGTTTCTGATGACAATTAGCTTAATTAAACAGGTACAAGATTATATTTGTATTTTCTATCCAGTTATCCATATAATATCTTATCCAGAAAAAAAAACTTGATCAATACCAAATGATTTTTTAACTAGTAAATAAAGTATTTTCTTTACACACACATTGTATATCATAGTTTTTTTTTTTTTTTTGGTTTCGCAAAACATCCAAAAACAAATATGCTATAAAAGTGACAATTTTAGCAAAACGAAACCCTTATATACGTTTTGATTTTTTTCTTTTTTAAAAAATTCAATTTCTAGAAAAATCGAGAAAAAATCATTTTCTTCTATTTTTTTAGGACGCCATACCCATTGAAATCTCCTCTCAGGACGCCATAAACTATTCAATTATGGCGTAAACTTCTCAAAAATTGAATAGTTTACATCAGGACGCCTTAGGACGCCAACCCTTTACGCGCCCATTTCATTTTCAATGAATGTGATATTGCTGGGCAGCTGTTATACAATAAGATAGTAGAATGAGTAAATACTTTCATTGGCATCAAGATCATTTGCTGATTTTATAATAATTATAATTTTCTGATTTATCAAAGCATTCAAACATCGAGCTTTGCCCTATTTTCCATGATGTCGGCAAATTTTACCTTGCATTAATCAAAATTTCCAAAATTACTCTCATTTCTTCAAGTGAGAAGCTGTTTTATGGGATAGTAATAAAATGATTAGATAAAACAAGATCAATGAACTATAATTTGAAAAAGTGAAAAGTAAGGAAAAATGTTCTTGAACATAAAAAGAAACGATAATAAAAAATTTTCTCTTTAGATAGCCAATCATACAAAAGCTCATAACTAATAGTCGATTATTCTATCCTTTGTATAATTCAAATATTTAGTTTACAATTTTTAATTTTTGTACTGTTCTAACTTGGATTTAAGCTTGTTTAGATCGAATCCTGTAATGGAATAGAGCTCGTTTAATTTATCGGTCTCTTTACGGAAAAATTTAATATGAGGAACTGAGCGTACAGAGTAATAATCTGTTAAAGCGGCATTAGCATCGATATCTACCTTATAAAATTGAACATTTGGAAAATCTTGGACCAATTTTGGTAATTGTTGGCCGAGTCTGCGGCAAGGGCCGCACCATGTTGCAAAGAAATCAATAACGATCAGTTTGTTTTCTGGAACGGCTGCGAGCATGTCATTGTAGTTGCCTGTGAAAACAGTCACTGCTTCAGTTGTCATTTGAAAAATGAAAACTCACTTTTCAAAATTGTTTGGAAAAAATAAGAAAATATTATTACGCACGATATTTCCATCCGATATTATTTTTGTCTTTCAATTTTTGAATTTTTCAATTGGAGAACTAATCATTCAATTTAAAGTTTGATCAATTCCCTTTGTTTTAGATTGGGATTATTAGTAAAATTAGCTAAAAATTAAAGTATCTGCTTTCAAATAAAATTGACCATGTAACTTCTTTGATGGTTATCAATGTTAAAACCATTAGCAATAAGCCATATCAAAGACTCTTGTGTATCGATTTTATTTCGGTAGACCCGAAAGGTGTGAACACAAGAATAGTAGGAGTTTCAAATAATAATAACGTATAAATGCGGATTTCTCAAACAATGTTCAATTAGTTATTGATCGTATCATTGCATTTATGAGCAACACTTAATTTATTTGAATATATAAATCACCATTCATTCATAACTAGATCATATTTCAAAAATAATTAAAATTCAGATTCAAAACCTTTTTCTTTGCTCAGAATATCAAGAGTATAACTAAGAACCAATAAGGTAGCATAATTTTGAACGTCTTTTCTTCACAAATGAAAAAATAAGCGCATAGTTTTCATAATTTTATAATATTTTACGTATTCTATATGTTAGCATTATACATTTAACTCTTTTTCTCTTACATATTTTAGTTATATGAAATTTTTCCTTATAAACATGTAATTTTTATATTTGATTTACTTGTTAATACTAATAAACTAATCCCTCTGATATTTTAATTACCTTAAGCGTGTTTAATTATATGTTTTGTTTATATTGATGTAATCTTTTGCTATTCGTATAGAAGTGAGATATAAATAAATTCAATTCAAAATAATCGTTTCGAAAAATTCATTCATCTGAATGAATCCAGAGGCAGAGAAAGAATATTCAACCTTAACTGCTTTTGTTCCACCTGAATCAATCTCAAAACCAACATTTGATTCAATCAGAATGAATATAAGTGGTACTGATTTAAAATTTGATTTAACTTTTACAATACCTGCTAAATATCCGGAAACTCCATTGAGTATCGATGTGCAGTTAGATCCATCCTATAGAGATAAGTCAAAATCAAAAAGTATTTTGGATTATTTGAATAAAAAGAATCAAGAACTTGTTGGCTTTAATTCCATCATTCCTTTATACTTCGAAGCCAAGAATGTTGCGTCTTCCAGTTCAAGTTTAGTCTCAAACAAACAAGCCATTACTTTTAATTCAACACCGAGAAAATCACCTTTATTAATAAATTCAGTCACTGAAACAGCAGTTCCAAAGAACATTAATGTACCTCTTTTAGTCTATTTATTCCATACCGCAGTGACTCGTCAAAGTGATGACAGCGAAAAGGACTTTAACAGGACATTATCAACTCTCAAGCAGCTTGGTCTTATTAGCAATGTTAAGATAGATACACTTCTCCAAGAAATGAAGCCTTTAAATGAAAATCCGGTTTTGCAAGATTTTTTACAGATAAAAACAAGCCCGAACATGGTCGAAAGAATCAAAAACCTCAAAGACTCACGTATACTACAAGACTTCGTCAAAATTAATAACCTTGGCAAAGGAGGATACGGATCTGTCATTGAAGCACGAAAAAAAGCCGATGACGACAGACATTATGCAGTAAAATGCATTCCTCTTGCTTCCCTTGCCGAAGTTAAGGAAATGAAACGCGAAGTTGCCTTTCTTTCGAAATTTCAACATCGATATATCGTAAATTTCTATTCTTCATGGGTCGAAAGCGTTACAGAAGATGCAGCAAAAGAAATAAAGAAGACATTCGACCTCGCTGATGAGGAAGAAGAAGAAACAGACGATTCAGGCGATACAACAACAGTTTCTCGGTCCAGATCGTTTAATACTACTCCCAGATCCCCCAGAAGTGTCAGGAGAAATGATGATTCTGGTTCTACGACCTCTATTACCGGTGAAATTGTTGAAAAAATTAATGAATTAATGAACAACCACGCAGATTTCAGTAGCGATAGCGAAACCCAACAAACTGATAAATTCCATACCTTTATCAAGTCAGACAATGAATCCGATTCGAAATCCGAGTATGAAGAAGAAGATATTCCGATTGAAGACGCTTCCAACTCATCAAACGATGGAGAAGCTGGTTTAATTGGCTCCAGTCCTCCCAACGCCGACAACCAACAGATCCAGATGATTTTTGATCATTCAACCGACTTAAACGATGAAAAAGAGAAGGAAGAAGAAGAGGAGGAGGAAGAGGAAACTATATACATGGAAGAGGACCTTCCAGATGACTTCTTTGAACAAGGGGACGATTCCGATTTTTGCAATGGCGCAATAGACGAACAAGAAGAGCCTCCTTTGATAGATTTGCTTACAGACAGTCCATGCGCGCGTTCTAAATCGGATTCTTCCGGTAGAATCCTGCTTCCAAAAACATTTCCTTCATTATCCGATTCGAAATCTAAGAAATCCAAGAAATCGAAGAAGCAGCACTTCCTATTCATCCAAATGGAGCTCTGTTCCCAATCTACGCTCAAAGATCTGATGAGCGACAAATCATTTTTCGAAACTGCTCCGAAACTCGAAGAATCGAAGCAATGGCGCATTTGTCGTGAAATCCTTGAAGCCTTGAGCTACATCCACCAGAGCAAAGTCATCCACAGAGACTTAAAACCACAAAATATTTTCATTGACGATAAAAACGATGTAAAACTTGGAGATTTCGGATTATCTCGGTTAATTGAAGCCAAGAAAAGTCTGAAACTCGGTGATGTCGATGAACTGGCCAAGGAAGCAACAGGAACAGCACAAGGATCATTCCCGTACACAGCTCCCGAAATAACAAAAGGTAAAAAATACGATAAGAAAAGTGACATGTATTCATTTGGCATAATTTTCTTTGAAATATGGTGTTATTTCCCTACACAAATGGAGCGCCGTAAAATCCTGTTTGACCTCATCGACAACAAGCAGTTTCCTCCACAAATGATGACAGATGACTTCAAATTACAAAGAGAAATAATTTTGAATCTTTTGGATGAACCAGAAAAAAGACAAACATGCGAACAACTGTTGGAGAAAATGCCGTTGTATGATATAAGTAATGAAGATGTAACTGAAATGGTTAGGGCGATAACATCAAATGATTTAGGTCAAAATCCAAATCTAAATAGAATGATGATGATGTTTTTCCCTAAACAAAAAAGTGACGAATTCAAAACCACTTTTTCTCAACAAATTGGATTGGATTTACAGAAATCGGAGCGATTCGCACAAGCTATAGATCAGATACATGAACTTGCTGATATCTACGGCTCACAAATGATTGCTCCTCCTATTGTTGAAAATTTGACAGCAGATTTCGATGACGAAGTCCAAGTTTTGACTGATTCCGGTTGTCTTTTAAGTCTTAGAACGAATCTATGGCGATATTTAAGTAAATACGCCATTTGCTCTTTGAAAGACAACGAAAAAGAAACTGAAGAAAAAAGAGTTTATCAAGTTTCTCACGTTGTCAAACAAATTGACAAAATATTTAATGAAGACATCTTTGTTATTTATAATGTCATCTTCCAGAACTCAAAACAAGAAACACTTTATCTTTTGGAGTGTTTGAATTTCATCGCTGATTTAGTTGAAAAAATTTGTCCGTCAAAAGTTGAAAAAGGATGTATTTTGCATTCTAAAATCATTGTTTCCAATACATGGATTGCCAGATTCAAAGCGGACAATAAATGGAAACAAGTCGTGGATTATATCACCACGAAAAACGAAGAATTAATTAAATCGGCTCCAGTCATTTCTTCCATGAAAAATTTCAAACCTGAATATTCCGAAATGGAAGATACAGTTGAAAACACAACTTTGGAGTTTATGTCGGCAATAGAAGCATTGAAAATCGTTGAAACAGTTGAATTCGATCTCCTCGATGAAGCAGTAATTAAAGGTAATGATTTGAACGCAAGGTTATTGATTGATGACCAAGAAGTTTGTTCTGTTGGAGATTTCTGTTCTAAAATAATTTCTGATCTGAAAAAATACGAACAGAATCTTCAGAAAGAAGTAAACGTTGTATCAATGATTACTTCGATGCCTAACTTAGTGAGAATCTCTGATCAAATGGAAGTTACAGGAAAAATAATGATTGTTCCCGCTTATGGAGATATCGAGAGTTCTCCAGAAAAATGGGGAGAACCATCGAATTTCAATTGGTTGAAATATTACAGTGAAGAAACGAAGTTGGCAAGTAAATTACGAGACTCTGGTTTTGTTGTAGGTATTGCAGACAAGAACTGTATTTCAATGAGTCAAATGATTGAAAGAGCTTCATCAGAAGGATTTGATTTCTTCGTTGTTCTGGAGTTTAAGAAGAAAGCGAATTGTTCATGGATTTCTAAAATCATTCTTAAGAATAACGAAGAGTTCAAATCAGAAACAAGAGAGAAAATAGAGAAAGTAATCAAAGAAGAATGGACTGATATGACTTTTAAGTATTTCTCTCTTCAAAGATAACTTTTTTATTTATTGTTATTTTTATATATATATTGTTTTTTATTAATGTAAAAAATTTAATTTGTCTTCGATTTTATAAAGATTAATGCCTCCAATTGAAATTAGAAAAAGCACTTTTAAAATCAATAAACAAACTGCTCTTAGTTTTACGCTCGGAGTAATTCTCATTGCACAAGAAGTTCTGATGGATACTATTTATCAAGTGATTGCCGAAAATGTCAAGAGGGGTGTTCATCAATGGGTTAAGGGTGCTCTTACCACTTTCTGGCATTCTCTCAATTTTTTTTTTACACACAAGTTTTGTATCCCAATTTTCTAAGATCAAAAGTTAATATTTTTGGTCGGGAGAATGCAAATATAAATCGCTAAATGGTACCTAATATGACAATTTGGGATGAACAAAATTTGCGCTTTTGGCAAACCCTACAGCCATAGATATATTGATTTTTTCATAGCATGTCAGAAAGTGGTAAGTACACCCTTAAGTTGTACAAAATTCTTTAGAGATACGTCATTCAAAGTTCAAAAATTATTTTACAAACAGAATATTAATATGATAAAGATTTATGATCTATATCATAGCCTAGCCATATAAATTTTGTACATTAACGATAGCCTTCATTTGGCCCGACCATGGACCCTTAACGTACTGTAAGTTTTTAGAATCCGATTTCAGATACGATGCAAGCTGAAGCCGGAATTGAAATTTAATTTCAATTACTTAAACCTTGCATTCATAGTTACTCTGGCATTCAAATTAAAAGATAATGAAACACATATTTCAAATATTTCAAATAATTTAAGCATCATATATTATATTTTAATATGCGGTATCATTTCATATATTTTAATTATTTCTTTGCGTAATATTGAAATTGTCACTGTATTCCTTTACATATTAATTTCATTGGACATGCATAATTCTGTAATGAAGATAAGGTGTTATATTAATCATGTATAGTAACTTAAGTGTAAGTCTTCATAATATTGATTTATATGATAAATCGAAAGGTTCACCAAACGTTGTTATCAACTCGAATAATTATACATTCCTCAATCCGTGTAAAGATCCAGATGATTGTACTCGATACATTGTCAACATTGAATCAGGTAAATATATCATTGAAGCTGTTAGTGGTGAACATTATGATGAGCATGGAAGATTCTGGGAAATAACACAACAAAATATTGAAATCATTGAACAGACGACTCTTATTTTTTCACTCGGAGGAACAACCGAGAAAACAAACAAAATTCTGAAATCAGATGAATATTTTGACACTATTATTCAAGAATATCAACAAAATAATAATATATTTCCCAAAACAACTAAATCTATTTCTGAACATAATCATATATTTATTAGCTCCAAAACAGGTGATAAACTACGAAATCATTATTCAAAAATCGGAATTGTAAGAATAATTAAAGCTAGCTGTGATAACAATTGTGCTGAATGCCGAACGTATTGTGTTAAATGTAAAGAGGGATATTTTTTAAGTGGTTTGTCGTGCCAAAGTTGCTGAACTGGTTGCGCCACATGTGTATCAGGCCCTTTCTGCACTTCTTGCCGTGTAGGATATTATTATTATTCATCAGATACTAGCTGTAAGAGATGTCCAAGTGACTGTTTGTCATGCGCATCGCCTACAACATGCAGCAGTTGTAAAACTGGATATTATTTGTCATCCGGAAGCTGTGTCCAATGTTCGCCTTCGTCTACATGTCTAGAGTGCAGCAATTCGCAATGCACTAGGTGCTCTGACGGATATTACTTATCATCTGGTGATTGCACCAGATGCTCAAAAGGTTGTTCACTATGTTCTTCTTCTACATCATGCAGCAGCTGCGGTCAAGGATATTACTTGTCATCAGGACGATGCTCACAATGTCCAAGTAACTGTTCGTCATGCGCATCGCCTACAACATGCAGCAGTTGTAAAACTGGATATTATTTGTCATCCGGAAGCTGTGTCCAATGTTCGCCTTCGTCTACATGTCTAGAGTGCAGCAATTCGCAATGCACTAGGTGCTCTGACGGATATTACTTATCATCTGGTGATTGCACCAGATGCTCAAAAGGTTGTTCACTATGTTCTTCTTCTACATCATGCAGCAGCTGCGGTCAAGGATATTACTTGTCATCAGGACGATGCTCACAGTGCCCCAACACTTGTTCTTCATGCTCTGCACCTTCTTTGTGCTCAAATTGCAAAAACGGATATTATTTGTCATCAGGAAGCTGTATGCCTTGTTCATTCTCAAACAAATGTCAAACATGTAGTAATTCGCAATGTACAAGATGCAATGATGGATACTATTTATCTTCTGATGAATGCTCAAATTGTTCAAAAGGTTGTTCGACATGTTCATCTTCTACATCATGTAGCAGTTGTATACAAGGTTATTTCTTATTTTCAGAAAAATGTATTAAAAAAAGCACGTGCGAAAATTGTGATGATCCTAGATGTTCAAAATGTTTTAAACAACTGCTTAATTATCGTCTCTTGCTCAGTAAAATCTCAAACAAATTTCGAATGTTTCTATCATTTAAATTAATATATTCTATTTAAATATTGAAATATGTATAAAATTTTGTGAATACTTTTTATATTTGTTTACATTCCTTTGAAATTTCATTCCGCTTTTTAAGTGGATACTTACGCTCATCTGGCTTTAAGTCAAATAGCTCATCAAATTCTGTCAAGCAACACTAATAATTAGCCGTAAAAAATATACCAAGAGAGTAACGACTAATGAATATGTGTATCGATGCTAAAGCACCCAAAATTCTATAAAATTGAGAATATCCATATGACTTTATAATGCTCGGCCATAACAATAAAAAAAAATAGAAAGTTCGCGACACTAAGATTAGTAGTAGGATATGACGGGTTTAGTGACTTTTTTGTTACATCTATATATAGACGATGCATTAAAATATATTTATTTATAAATTATTAAAAAATTAACATTAATTTTAAAATAATTTATTTTTTTATCTTTTATAAAAGAAGCTATATATAGATGATGTCAGATATTCCGCGATTAATTAAACATTGTTTAAATCCTGAATGGGTTAAACTTCAATTTAAAAATGAAGATTGTGAATTATTAAATGAATATGAAAGCCAAAATAAGCTAATGAGGTATAAATATAATGATAAAGAATATTTAATTTCATGGAATCAATGGAGTCATAATCAAAGACCTCATAAACGAGAAGAAAAAATTGAAAATAATGAAATGGAAATCATTGATGACATTAAAGAGGATGGAATTCCTAAATTTTGTAGAAAAACCTTTAGAACTAAGTTAGGAGCATATAAACGTAGAGTATTAAATCCTGAATATCTTAAACATCAATTTAAAAAGGAAGACTGTGAATTATTAAACGCTAATGAATATGAAAATGCTAAATCAAAACTGAGATATAAATATATTGGAAGTGATGAAAGGTGTAAAGATAAAGATAAAGTTTATTCAGTTTCATATAATAACTGGCACACGTTAGGGATAAGAAAACATTTAGGAGATTATGGTAAAAGTTCCGAATTCTTCAAATCTAGTATGTACGAGAGAATAAAATAAATCAGATATAATTATTTTCATGAATAAAAAATAAACTTTAAAAATTCATGTCTTACATTTTTGAATAATTTATTTTTTTAATTCGTAAGAAATGAACGGAACAAAATTCGTGACTGTGAATCAATTAATGGATACACTTTCACCAATTCTCACCCAGGTTAAACAAGTAGACGTTTATTTTGATGATTGCGTACAAAGTTTATTTTATAAAGGTAAGTTTAATATTAAACCTATTGCTTTTGCATTTGATGGTAAATTAATCGAAAATTCAAAAATTTGGGAATTAATTCCGGATATTGAATTTATAACAAATATTAAGGATAAATGGTTTAAACAACAAAACCACCTCACTAAAGTTCTTTGTAGATTAATGATTAAAACTGAGGAAAAAGAATTTAACGGGTTTAAATATCATCCATGTAAAATTTTAGAACTTGGTAACGAAAAACTTCAGAAAAAATTAAACGAAAGACTATCAAAAGATAAAGTTAAAAGAGTAAATAAACTCGCTAAAGGTAATGGTAATGGTAATGATGAAGATGAATTTGATGAGTTCAACATTGAACTTTAAGAAACTAATGATTATTTGAATTTATGATATCAATTATCTGATTTATTCTTTCTTCAATCTCTTCTATTCTTTTTGTTAAATCATCAATTTTCATTAATGAGGTGATTCTTGATTGAGGAATAGATTTCAAACTAATCACTCCTTTTATTTTTGAAATTTTGAATCCATCAACTTTAAACATTTTATTCAATTTACACGTTGTCAATTCTTCAAATAATTTTTTATTATTAGCATAATAGTCATTAAATTCTTCAACAGATGAAAAAAATTTTATTTCAGTAATTGGTTTAACAACGTTTATTTTTTGTTGAACATTTTCACTTTCATTTATTTCTTCCTCCTCTGTTTCATTTATTTTTAAAATCGGTTTCATTTATCATTAAATAAAAATTAGAATATAAGTGATGAAATATATTTTTTAATTAATATTAAATCAGAAATGGCGGCAGGATTCTTTAAAAAAATTATGGGATGGAATTAAGAAAGCTGCGGGTTGGGTTTATAAAAAGATTATTAAACCCGTTGCAAACTTTTTGGCACCAGTAGCGAAAACGGCAGGAACTATCATAGGTGGAGTATTAGGTACTAAAGCAGGTAATCCGGCGATGGGAGCCAAGCAGGTAACGCAGTTGGTGGATTGCTGAAGGAATACTTAATAAAATAGAGGTAGATAGTGGAAAATAATAAATATTATTTTTATCTTAGTATCGGTTGTAGTCTTTGATAAACTTTTTCTCCTTTATTTAAAACTTCTCTTATTGGGGCAGCTTTTGGTGTTATTGATTCAGCAACGTCACTAATTGCTTCTTTATTCTTAAATATCCAATTTGCCCCTTCT